AAGGATCTTTGAGCCCAGGAGTTGAGGTTGCTGTGAGCTAAGCTGATGACAGCACTCTAGCCCGGGCAACAGAGTGAGATGAAGGGAAGGGAAGGGAAGGGAAGGGAAGGAAGAAGGGAAGGAAGGAGGAAGGAAGGGAAGGGAAGGGAAGGGAAGGGAAGGGAAGGGAAGGGAAGGGAAGGGAAGGGAAGGCAGGAAGGGAAGGGAAGGGAAGGGAAGAAAAGACAAAAAATTGAACAAAATTGACATGTCTCTCACCTGATTAACCAGAGGAGAAAAGAAAGGACTCTAATAAGTTCAATCAGGAATGAAAAGGAGAAATTACAACTGATAACATAGAACTACAAAACATCATCTATGAATACTATAAAAATCTCTACATACATAAACTTGAAAATGTGGAGGAAATGGACAAATTCTCAGAAACATACAGGCTCCCTAGTCTCGATGAGGAAGAGATAAACTTCCTGAGCAGACCAGTATCAAGTACTGAAATTGAAGCAGGAATAAAAAAAGCCTTCCTAAAAAAAGAGACCCAGACTAGATGGTTTCATATGCAAATCTTACCAGGCCTACAAAGAACTTGTGCATATACCCCAGAAATTATTCCACAACACTGAGAAGGAAGGAATACTACCCAATACATTTTAAAATGTCAACATGACCCTGATACCTAAAACCAGGAAAGGACAAAACAAATAAAGAAAACAACAGACCAATATCCCTTATGAATATAGAGGCAAAAATTTTCAATAAAATCCTAGCAAACCAAATTCAGGTGTTTATCCAAAAAATAATCCATCGAGACCAGGTAGGCTTCATCCTAGAAATGCAGGGATCCGTCAACATATGCAAATCTATAAATGTAATTTACCACATAAATAAAAATAAAAAGAAAGATTATATGATCCTCTCAATAGATGTTGAAAGATCATTTGACAAAATTCAGCACTTTTTATGATAAGAACACTTAACAAAATAGGCATAGGTGGAACTTATCTCAAAATAATAAAAGCCATATAGAACAAACCCACAGCCAATGTCCTACTGAATGGGAAAAAAAAATGAAAGTATTCTTGCTTAGAACTGAAACTAGACAAGGTTGCCCTCTATCACCACTTTTCTTAAATATAGTGCCAGAAATCCTACCCAGAGCAATCAAACAAGAGAAATAAATCCCAGGCATTCAAACAGGGACAGAAGGAGGAAAACTATTACTCTTTGCTGATGATATAATCTTTTTTCTATAAAACCCCAAAGATTCTGCCAAGATACTACTAGAATTGATAAAAAAAAAAAAAATCAGAAAAATCTCAGGTTACAAAATCATTGTACAGAAATCAGTAGCATTTATAACCACCAACAAGAGTCAAACTGAGAACCAAATCAAAGACTCAATGCCTTTCATAATATCAACAAGGAAAATAAAATACCTAGGAATATATTTAACTAAGGATGTGAAAGACCTCTACAGGGAGAACTACAAAACACTGAGCAAGGAAATACCAAAGGATGTAAAAAGATAGAAAACCATACCATGCCCATGGACTGGCAGAATCAACATTGTTAAATGTTATACTACCCAAAGTGATTTACAGATTCAATGCAATCCCTATCACAATACCAGCATCATTCTTCACAGATCTAGAAAAAAATAATTCTAGGCTTTATATGTAACCAAATAAGACCCTGTATATCAAAAGCAAGCTTAAGCACAAAGAACAAATTGGAAGGCATCAGTTTACCAGACTTTAAGCTATACTACAAGACTATAGTTACCAAATCACTATTGTACTGGCACAAGAACAGAGACATAGACCAATATAACAGAGCTGAGAACCCAGATGTAAAACCATCCTCATATAGCCATCTCATCTTTGACAAAGCAGACAAAAACATACACTGAGGAAAAGAATCCTTATCCAATAAAATGGTGCTGGGAAAATCAGATAGCCACATATAGAAGATTGAAACTGGATCCTCACCTCTCACCTCTCACAAAAATCAACTCATGGTGGATAACTGACTCAAACCTAAGGCATGAGACCATAAGAATTCTAGAAGAAAATGTTGGAAAAACATAAGAATTCTAGAAGAAAATGTTGGAAAAACTCGTATAGACATCATCTTAGGGGAAGAATTTATGAAGAAAACCCCAAAGGCCATCACAACAACCACACAAATAAATAAATGGGACCTGATCAAACTTAAAAGCTTATGCACAGCCAATGAAACTATCATCAGGTCAAATAGACAACCTACAGATTGGGAGAAAATATGGGCATGCTACACATCCAATAAAGGGCTGATAACTAGAATCTATATAGAACTCAGGAAAATCAGCAAGAAAAAACCAAACAACCCCATTTAAAAGTAGGCAAAGGACATGAACAGCAAGTTTTCAAAAGAAGACAGACTAATGGCCAAGAAACATATGAAAAAATGTTCAACATCTCTAATCATCATGGAAATATAAGTCAAAACCACAATGAAATATCACTTAACTTAAGTGATAATGACCTTTATCAAAAACTCCCCAAACAACAAATGTAGGTGTGGATGCAGAGAGATGAGAACACTCTTACACTGGTGATGGAACTGCAAACTAGTATAACCTCTATAGAAAGTGATATGGAAATACCTCAAAGAACTAAAAGTAGAACTACCATTTGATCCTGCAATTTCATTAGTGAGTATTTACCCAAAGGACATAAAGATATTCTATAAATAATACACCTATACCTACATTCGGATATTCAAAACAGCACAATTCACAATTCAAAGATATGGAAACAACCAAATTGTTCATTAGTACATGAATGGATTAATAAAATGTGGTACATGTATACCATGGAGTACTACTCAGCCATATCACAGAAATATCACAAATCACAGAAATATCACAAATGAACTGATAATACCCCTTGTATTATCCTGGATTGAGCTGGAGCCCATTCTTCCAAGTGAAATATCACAAGAACAAGTACCACATGTACTCACCATTAAATTGGGACTAAGTGATCAATACTTATGTGCCCTTATGGAAGTATCATTCACAAGGCATAAGGCAGGTGGGAGCAGGGAGGAGGGGATGGGTAAATTCACACCTAATGGGTACAATGCATGATGTCTGGGGGTTGGGCATGCTTGTGGTTCCAACTTGGTAGTGCAAAGGCAATATACGTAACCAAAGCATTTCAACCCTGTAATATTCTGAAATAAAAAGAAATAAAAATAATAAAAAAATAAAACCCCAATGGAATATAAAAAAATAAATAAAATTTAACATTCTTTTCTTCTTGAAAATAATTTTCTCATAAATATAGGCCTGTGGCACTCTTTTAAGGCACTCTAATTATTTCTGTAACGAAATAGACAGCAATACTGTCATGTGGGATTTTTCTAGTGCCTTTAACTCAAGAAAAATCTGTGTAAGTCAGAGGAAGGAAAGACTACAATCCACAAAGAAACTGCTTTTTTTCTTTCTTCCTATTTTTCCTTTTTTTTTTTTTTTTGTTAATCTGAAAACTATTGTCCTCTTGCACAACCCCAACTCTAACATGATGACACAACCAGATAACCAAACACTGGGCTGGGAATGAGCAGCTGACTTTTGCCCAAGCCAACCATACCTAGGTCACACCTGTCGGGCGATGCTTCTAGGTAAAGATTGGTATATTTGCACCTATTCAGGTACCACTCAAAAACTCCATCTGTCTTTATTCACAGTGGAGACACGATTTCACACATACCAAACAACCAAAAATTAAAAAAGCAAGATGACACCAAGTATTGAGAATGAGCTACAGAAAGAGACATGTCAGCTACCAAGAGTGACGGGGCAAATTGTACAGCCATTTGGAAAGCTTCTGGCATTGCCTGGTAAAACTGAACATGTCAACTTTCAGAGTATCCCATCACCACACGCATGACCTCATGATGGCATTGTCTGAAACAGCCCTGTACTGGAAACAAGTCAGTCTCTTAGCGGCTGCCAGGCCTCCTATTTTTAGGAAAGCCATATTTGCCACCATCCTAACTTAGATTTCAAAGCAAAATCTGTGCAAAGAAACTTGGGTCTAAAGAGTCATTTACATAAAAACAGTTTTGTTGTTCATGAGTTGGTGAGATAGTTATGTATTGTTGTGAACCATTTCTATATTAAACTTCTGAATTTCCCTTGGGAATTGTTTGATGCCCCAACATGGCACGGAACAGTTACGGGATGAGCAGAGCATTAAGACAAAGGCATGTGTGGTATCTAGGATCCTTTCCTAAAACAGAATACTAGATGTACCTGCATCAGTACTCAATGAAGTGAGGTTATGATTTTGTATATATTTTTAGACAATATTTCTCCTAGAAATAACAAGGAGAGAGGATTGGCTAGATTATTAAAGAATAATGGTAACGAGAAGAGAGTACCCATGGAGAGACATATGGATGGGGAATGGAAAAAAGATTGGAGTGGAAAGAGCAAACGTAGAGAAGCCATTCCTAACAATGTAGGCCAGATTCTAACATGCAAGTTACTGGATCCCACAGTGACATCCTAACTGCTCCTGTTCTGTGCAAGATCCTCAGGCTCCACGTTATTTCTCTTCCCACAGCTTCCTACTCCTTCCAACATTCCCAGCTGAAACTCTAAGATCACTAAAGGTAAATCAATATGCTCTCTTGAAACTTAGTATTATATTAGTCCAGAAAAATTTAACTATATTTAGTGTTTATATACTAAATACTTGCCTTGATTTCCTTAACTAACGTAGTTGCTTATGACGTTTGGAGATGCAAACCTACATAAGAGTATTATTGAACTGATAAACTGGGACAGAACTCTCAGGGCAATTTTCTTTCATAGGTGTTCAGAATAGTTTTCATGATGGATGGGAGTTCATTCTTAGAATACCAAGCAGTTGATGTAAAGTTACAGATATACTGAGAAATTTTATACAGGCTGAGAAACGGTATGGCCAGGTAGTCTTTGAATCACTACTTACGTTGTGCTTTGTGAGGTTTGAAATATTAGTTGCTATTGCTTGTAGCCAGTCCATGCAGTCCTCAGCGGAGAGGCACTGGATAACGCCGCTGCAGACGCCGTCCACAGCAATGACTTGAAAGGCATTCTGCCTGCAGATACGTCAGAACAAATCAGATCAAAACAACAAGTCATTCATCTATTTGCAATTTATGAAAGTATCTGTTGAAAGCTCTTCGTTTAAACAATATAAATGTCAGCTTCCAAATTCATATTTGGTTACTTGCCTTTATAAAAATTTCTTTTCTAAATGGAACACTAAAGATAGACCCAGATAACATGTAAGTTCAAATTAGTAGAAAGCATCCTCAGATAACTGTGGAGAAACTTTGACTTGTAAAATATGTCCTATGTAAATGGAAGAGAATCTAAAAAATTGTAGAAGCATTCTTTTTCCAGATTGCCATAAAATTACACATAGTTTATTTATTATTTTGGCTACCATCATCTCCTCCTAACATTTGATCAATGCATTTTCTGACTTAGAAAGATCACAGACACAGGCAAACCATATTAAATGCCGTATAAAAACTCACTTCACTAAATGAGCTTCAGCACTTGCCAGCTGTCAGTTGTTATTCATTCACAATCTCAGTTCATTCATCTTCTCAAAAACAGTTTGGGACAAGAGACTTATACCTCCTTTACAGGTCTAAATGATCATTGTCTTAATTTATGTAAGACGAATTTCAGTAGCACCAATTTTTTTAAATGCAATGATCAGATTAACTATCCCTATGGTCTTTCATTGACTTTTTAAATTTTTTGGTAAGAGATAATTACATTATGCCATCCTAAATTGTTCACAAAAGTTCTATACAATTTAAAGATGCTTGCTACAGCTTCAATGATTCACTTTTTTTCCCTATGTCAAGCTCTTACAATGTTTAGATATAAGTTTAATTGACAGGAATAGATAAAATCCCAAAATGAATGGAAGCAAGCCAAAGGCCTCATGCTTTAGAATTACTCTGTGGTGTCACACCTCAGAAAATTCGCAAACTATATTTCAGTCCCAGCCAGTTATGAAGCAATAGAAAACTTCTAAAGTTCAGTATTTAAAATGATATGTAAATTGTATACATTTATATGTTTTTTTCCAAATAAGCACCGTTCCTGGCTCTTCTGAGTTTTGTAACAAGGTATTTGTGGATATTAGATATGATTTCACTTCCCCAAGGGAAAACCCACAGCGCATGTCTGGCTCAGGTTCACCATTGGGCCTCTGTCACTCTGCCTTCCTGACTCGGAGCTGGGTACACAGAACAGGATCTGTGCATCCAATTTATTAGTCTTTTTAGGGAGACTGCTTCTCATATCCTTGACACAGCACTTTCTACTGAACACAGGGAGGTGCTCAGATATACCTCTTGCTTTCTCTATAAAAGTACATTAAACACATTTCACAAGTATACCTATTGTCCATCTCTTTGAAATAAGGTTCTTTTGAATTTGCAACAAGACAAAATACTTCTTGCATGAAAAGAATATTATAACTTCACATTACATTTTTAACATTAATTTTTATGTTTAACAGTGAGTAAGACATTTAAAATATCCAGACAGAAGCTCAATCATCCATGGAAAATGAGAAATAATTTGAGTCTAGTAATACACATTTCTTTCCACTCTCTGATTATCATAACCATTGCTTCATGTATCATAAATTAAAGCATGTCTTGAACATATTTGTTCTTTCTGCTTTAAATTAATTGTGGCAGCTAGATATTTTTAGCTGACTAAAGTCAATACACTTAGATCCAATCTGCAATCTATGTAATCATATATGTTACACAGTCCCTAGATAGAATAAGTCCCAAAGGCTAATCTTTTATAAACATAGACTTATTATGTTAATGCACAACACTTTTTACATTCTGTTTCTACTCCTCAAAATTGATGGAAGCCCTTTCATGAATCTAAGTGGAATAGCTGAATAGTTTCTTTGATTACATCTGACCTCTTAAAAATAGGCAGATAACACATATTATAGTTATCTGGATTATATTTCTGCTTCTGCTACTAAGTAAAGTATTGGCAAATTAATCCACTTAGTTGTGCCTCAATTTCCCCCAAAAAATGAGAATAAAATATTTTAAAAATTTAACAAGTATTTTGCTGAGTAATCAGTGCAGGTAGAGAACAAGAATTGCAGAGACTAAAATGTGTAGGTTTGGAGTGGCTGGAATACCGCATTCATGAGGCAGAGTTCTAAGGGATCACCATGGAAAAGCAGACAGGCTCCGAGGGAGGTGGGCTTTGGATGTCACGCAGGGAGGTTGAAGTCTGCAGGGAGCCACTGCTGCACTTCACGCTGAAGCCTCCCATAGTTAGATCTGTGTGGCATGGGTGGTCCTGTTGGCCCCGAGGAGAGTGTAACATAACTGGTAACATATGAGGTGAAATGGAATGGAAATAAACACGTGATAGTGAGTGTTAAAAATGGAGCCGTTAGTTCCAAAGGGACTTTTAAAGGCATTAGGAAGGATGTGGTTCAATATGTGCTTTTTAAAAATGAATTATGAGGGAGAGGATAAAGTCAAAATTACTCCAGCATGTTGCACTGAAGTAGTGAAATAACTTAGTTGGGGAGGCAAGGGAAAGCACAGGTATTAGACAGGAGGTAATTAATCCAAAAAACAAATATTAGAGGAATGGCACATCAAGAGGTATGCAGGTCGTTTGGCATGTTGCACACGAATGTGCAGAATTGGCAGGTTATGAAGTTACGATCATGCAAGGCGGAATCAGGAAGCCTTTACGAATCATGCTGTAATACCACACATCTACCTAACCCGGAGTGCCAAGGAGAGCCAATGGAAGTATTTAAGCATTGTAATAAAAACACTGTATTTATATTTTAGACATATCTCTTTCTGGTGTTTAAGAAAATGGAAAAAGGAAGAAATGTGAGAAAAGTACCACAATACACAAACTGGACAAGGGAAAGAATCTGTCCCACAGGGGGGCCCTCTGTATATACATAGGGCAGAACACTGACTCAGATGGTATTGAAAAGATGCCACTTATGTGATCTGAGTACCAATTAGGGGGGTGTGTTGTTAAAATAAAGGAAGAAATAAGAAGAGCCCCTCAGGTTGGCGATTCCAGCATTTCACTCTATTTCTCGTTGAGTTCAAGTGCATACCACAGGCCGGGGGTTTCTGCCTGGGTGAACTACCTTGGTTCACTGCCTCATTATCTCTTTCATTTTTCAGGCACAAAACCTAAACCATTTAGATATGTCAGGAGCTTTTTAAAATCATTTTTGTTACTTATTTTACAAACCTTAAATTCATCCATCATCTCATGATTTGAAAGCAGATAATTTACTCTCTAATAAGATAAATCATTCCCTAATAACCAGACAACTCATTCCCCAAATGGGCCCTATGCTTCAATGTGACTGTGTCTGTCTCCCCTGTGTCCCTTTATCTAAAATGCCCCTCTGTCCAACTTGCCCACCTGTCAGGTCACTGTAAACACCACGAAACTCTCTGAGCTGCGGTTTCTCCTTCTGTAAAACGAAGAAGGCTGCACATATCCCGTAAACCTCGGGTCGTGTTTTGAAGACTGTGAACTGGGCTTCTTAACACCTAAAAATCTGTTTAAAATGTTAGTTGTGCTATTTCTACTTGTCAAACCCAATTCAAATGTTAAGAAGTTAACTCAGATGCCACCTCATCCACATTTTCTATAATATATGTATTTAAAATTAATCTCTCCCACCTGTGTGCTACCGGACTTCCTGGTTCCCTTACTGCAGTGTTCCTTCCCCCTGTATTGAATATTTTTGTATACTTGTTACACACTGTGCTTTCTTACTAAGTTTCCTTCAAGCTCCTTGAAGGAAAAGCCATGTGTGCTACCTTCTATCATTCCCGGTATAAGTACAGTGCTCAGTCTTTAATCCGTAACTGAAAAACAAAAACAAAAAGGAAATCCATCTCCACTTTACTTTAGCAATCCCCTGCTTTTGCTAACTTGAGATCTAGTATTATTCAAGACAGCTCCAATGTCAGACCTGAATTCTGAGATTTCTGTTCTTTATAACTTTTTCCTTTCCATATCACTAAATTAACTAATTCTTTCTGATCTTTTTTAACCTTTCCAATTATCCTAGTCCATGAATACACTCAGCATATATCTGCATTTCTCCCTAGGCTGGGCTTCCTGTTCATCCATACAAATTATGTGGGTTTCTTTTTTTTCCACTTTAGAATTTCCTGTCACTTTGACCTCTAGCTGTTCCTAACTTACTAATTCCCAGCCCTGAATAACTTTAATTTAATTAAATCATAGCCTTTTCCTCCTAGGATTCCCTGGCAAGAGTTATAAATTGTGCAAAGAAGTTCCAATATCAGTCTCTGGGAACCCAGAATTTGCAGTTGCTCTTGTCTACTTTCTTTCTGCCCTCCCAGCGGTCAGTGAGCCATACATATTACAGATTCTCATTCCTACACAGTTGTCATTTATTCATCTCTTCCTGGATAACAGCTCTTGCATAGTTTCTGTGTTTTTACACTCCTGAATCCTGAACCTGCCTCTCTCTAGGTCATTCTGAGCATGTAACTTTGCCTTCCAACTCTTCAGTATCTCATGTCCAGCTGGTAGAAGCACCTTTTTGTATGTCTTTAACTTTATTTTTTATTCAAATGTATGGATTTTAGAAATACCTGTTGTATCATTTTATCAATTAGAAGCTTTTCATCTGCACCTAAAGCCTACTGGAATATGCTCCTTCAAAGTTTATTCTTTATTAATTTTTTTTCAATTTTCCAGATATACTCAAGCTCCCTGGAATACTGTCCCCTCTCTGGATATAGAAAAAATTAAAATTAACATTAATGATAGACTTGCGTCTTTGAATAAATGTGTCATAAATGAGAAATTAAATGAATAGGAACTCTTTGGCAAGATAACTTTCCCTAGGTTGAAAGAACTGTGCAAAAGTTAGTCTAGAGTTGTTCAAAAGAGGTGTGAGCTTTCTCAGAAAGAGTTATACATCTTATGGGCATTATGACACCTTCTTCCTTAACCCCACGCCATAGTTGTATATGAGTAGGTGAGCATGCGAAGCACCTGTGAATAT